CTTGTTACTAGTAGCGATGCACTTGTTACTAATAGCTTCTTGTTACTGCTAGTAAGGCACTTGTTACTAGAAGCGATGCACTTGTTCCTAGTAGCTTCCCAAATTACCCTATCCCTGAAATTCACAAGGTATGCGGCGCCACGGACGATTAACTAACTGATGTGACCGACAGGAATCTCCTGATGTGCCCTGCATGAGAATGTTGCCTTTTACATCTTTTACTATCTTGGCAGAGTAAGGCCAGAAAGGCTATTAGGTTGGAGGCCATCGCTATTGGAACAAGGATCTTTGGGGGGTCCATACTGGGATCCATGTATCTCCTACGCAAAAGCCACCTGTGGTCACAATGGAAGGCATGATGGTTGTGCCTTGCGAATCAGGTCCATCTGCGAATTGGGTAGTACTGTCAGTACTGTTCTACAAACAATGCAGTCCCAACATGTCACACCTTTCGTCCTTCTCTTGTTTCTAATAGCAATTCCAACCTACTAGCGATGGCCTCCAACCTACTAGCGATGGCCTCCACCCTAGTAGCAATGGCCTCCACCCTACTCTTGCCTATCAAACACAAAGTGCACCTTTCAATGCTTGGCATCCGTCTTCAATGCGCCCGCCGCACCCATAGTAATTCGAGAACCCCAGACTGCAAACGCGCTCACAGCGAGGCAAATGATACCTGAGGGCCGGGCACTCCTTGCAGGTCAGGAAATTGTCAACCTTGGGCACCATGGAAGATCTGTATAAGTTACAAACAGGTCATTAATGATAAAGGCCCTTTACCTTGCCTTAATTTCTTATTTCAATATACACAAGGATTATCTTTGTGAGTCTAATCTGCATTATCATTGACTTTCTACTACTCTCTCATCGGCAAACTTCACACAAATTTGACGCACCTTTGAAGCAAAGAAAAGGACACAGAAAAATTACAGGATACTTGATTCTTCTTCTTGGATACTTGGGCGGTGTTCGAATTGTTTTTCGTGGTTAGACTTTATATATATCACGTCACACGTCTTTTGAAAGAAAGGGGTTGAGACCTGGGGTGCCCTGGCGAAGGTCCGCACAAAGGCTTGGGCCTCGCGGATCCCGATCTCGGGACTTTGCAAGGGCAGGGCCTCGATCTGGTCGGTCTCGGCGAAACGAGAAGAAAACCAGGCTCAAAAGGTTCGTTTGCCGGGGCGTGGCGGAGGTAGGCCACTAAGAGGGAGGAGGTAGTAGCTAGGTAGCTAGTAGAAGCAAACGGGAGTCGCTGGTAGCTTAAGTAGTTACTACCTAGGACGCAGGATAGCTCACGCTTCTTCAAGGAAGCTCACCCCGCCTGAGGGCGGGGGAGAGCATCCTTGAAGAAGCGCTCGCACTATTCATTTGGTTCCTAGATTTTTAGGGAAACTTTAGTTTCTTTGTTTCTTTCTTGCCAATGGAAGTCTATTCACATCATATAGAAAGAATAAACATTACAGTAGTCACTTACCTCGACCTACCTACCCCACAATCAACCAAAACATGTTCCCAGAAGCTTCCACATTTACGGTAATGATTGAATTTATGTTCAGTTGTGCGCTATCTGATTTTCTCCTATTGTGTCAATTATGTCCCATCTTTTTTTCCGTTTCCCCTAGTAGATTGTTGGTCATTTCCTGTCTGCTTATTAATCAAAGGTGTACATGAAGCTTGGGTCCCTGAAGATTATCAAACGGCTCTTACTTGTGGTGCTTGGACTGTGAGAGAGACTTGATGAATGCAAGAGGTGACGGTGTGGCCATGAATCTGCACGGCACTTTGTTACTAGAAGCGATGCACTTCTTCCTAGTAGCTTCTTGTTACTACTAGTAAGGCACTTGTTACTAGAAGCGATGCACTTGT